CTAAAACTAAAACTAAAACTAAAAACTAAAGAGAAGAGGAAAGCACATGGATTCAAGGGTTACTGCAACATTTTTGGAAGCAGGAATTAAAAAAAAAAGTTTATGAGTGTTTGTCAACATCTTATTGTTTGAGCTTAGATTTTGAATCCAAATACTGCTATGAATGGAAGTTTACTTCTTAGAACTTAATATATGGACCTAAGGTAAATAATATGAGATGTGCAAATAATAATAATAATAATCCTGTCCAGGTCAACTTTTGAACATCCTTAAACCTATTATTAAAATTTAGTCCCTCTGCTTTATCGTACAAAATTACACAATCAAGTTTGAAAATACAAATTTGTAATCTGTAGCATTTTATATTAGCAATTAGGGAATGCAAAATCTCACATTCTCCACAATTGGTGGAGATAGCAGTCAGATTGGGTTAACTCCGTCCAGAATCCAATGGGACTGAAATGAATTGTTCTGTTCATACCAGAAGTGTACTAGCTTCAAAATGCTTCCGGCATTGTGATGACATTTCTGATAAAATGGAAATAGCTGTTCAAATTCAAAATGTTTTGCATCCCACTAGTCCAGATCTATTACTTAGCATGTTACATAAATCCAGCTGTCTGCAATTTATTTAATAATTCATGGTTTAAGGTAATGAAGTCCTCTCATGTATGATAAGATTAAATGGTACAATTTTCTTAATAAAACCAGAGTATTTACATTTTGTTATCCATTTGCACTATTTTTCTAACCAAGCTTTTCTTCTATATATTTCGTGAATTGTACTTGAACAATTTAAAATAAAAATGGATAATTGGTTTAGATTCTTATCCATTCTAAAAATGGATAATTGGTTTAGATTCTTGTTTTTTTAATAAACAATTTGGAATTAGTGCAGATTTTTTAGTTTCTATCTGAGGACTCATCCTAGTTTCAAAAGTTAACATGAAGAATGCCAAATGATGAACTTAAGGATGTAATCCAATATTAATTTAACTAGATATCCTGAAATAAATGAAACTGGCTCTTGAGAATTGCAACCTTAATAATTCCTTCTGCAACTTCCACAGAACTTTCTTAACTTCCAACTGTGCAGGCCTGTATGTTTCTCATGGTATTATGAAAGAGTTCCATCACTAGGAAATGCAACAGCCTTTTCAGAAGAATATGTTATATATTATATCATTATCATTTAATACTTTTGAGAGGGAGGGGGAGAAAAAGAAAGGTTAAATATCCATTGTGAGCTATGCCAGACCTGATATCTTTTCTCTTGTGCATGTGGTAGCTCTCTTTCTCTCTTCAGCCACTGTCTTCTATAATTTCCCCCATTTTCATTATGAGGATATCCTTCCCCTCTCTATTTTTGTAAGTATTCTGCCTGTAAATATCAATAAAGACTTTCAACAAAAATTCAGTACCCAGTTCGTTTAAAAATATATTGAAAGTGTAGCAGCAACTGTTGTATTTAGCATTAAAAATATCTCCCACATTGCAGAATTAAATACCTAATACAAACTACATATTGAAATGAAAAGCCCCCCAGACATGGTAAAGCTTTGTTGGAATTTTGAGATTTTACATGAAAACAAGTTTAACGCCAAGGGTTTTGATTCAATAGTATAGCCGCTTCAAGACTTCGAAGAATTCTGGTATGTACATAGAACTACACAGCACTCTATTTAAAAAAGGAAACGCTCCAGGCAGCATCCATCTAATTTCTTTCCTTCAGCAAACTGGATGGGTTTTATTGTATTTTCAGCTATTTCCCATATACTTCGAAACAGAAAATAGCTGAATTTCATCCACTGGGGAAACCCATACCGCATGTACAGATCTCAAATCAACATTCAAGCAACACAGTAAGGGTCCTTTAAGCGATTAGGAAAATGGTAAGGAAGAATAAATGATTCAGCTTCTCACTAAAAAAGTATTTACACAGCAGAGCTGATGAAGAGATCAACAGATGATTTTAGCTCAGAGATGCAAAAGATGGTGAATTCATGCTCTTTACAGAGCACTTAACAGCTCCCACCAAAGTTAATGGAGACACAGAGATATGATAAGACCGTAAGTGCTGAATTCACAATAAGGTTAATTCTACCATAATCCCCCTTTTTAAAAAACTCAACTGTTTAATCCTACCAAACAACTGAAAAGATGTTCATTAAAATTAAAGAAAACATCCAACACAAAAGAAGCATGCCTGTGGTTTTATTATTATCTCCATTGTAGTGGAATGTATACAATTCACAAATCCTATTTAAAATCATGCATTTTCATTTACATATAAAGTACTGATACTTTCTCTGCAATGCTAAAAACAGGATGGACATAATTATACGCTACATAAAGCCAAACATTGCTATATAAAGGCAAACATTACATTTTTGCTAAGTACTAAGGCCATGAAAGCCACCAATTCTGTTTGCTCTCCACAATCAAGTAAAACACATTAATCAAACGCCACTATTGTTTTAAAATTAGAAATACTTTCAAAAGATTACATCAAAACACTCCCTTGAAAATAATACTATAGAACATCACAATCACAGTTACTCTTCACAATTACTTTAGAACTATTGTCATACTATAGTCTATGGTAAACAAAAAAAATCGGACAATTTATTCTTAAATCTTGAGTACAATTATCATTTCAAACATGCAGAATTCTTTCCTCAAATTTGCAATCACAAATATAGCGTTCCCAAAGACCATCATTTAAATCAGCAAAAAAAGAGTTTCAATACTTCAATTTCAGCGATTTAAACATCAATACTTTTTAAAGTGTCACAGGACTGAAAAGTATAAAATCATAGGTATCCAATTTGTAAACATCTAGCCCAGTATTTCTCAACCTTGGCTACTTGAAGATGTCTGGACTTCAACTCCCAGAATTCCCCAGGCGGCTGGGGGATTCTGGGAGTTGAAGTCCAGACATCTTCAAGTAGCCAAGGTTGAGAAACACTGATCTAGCCAATGTCTTTATTTAATAATTAAAAATGTTAAATCAAATTGCTACATTGATTCTTACATAGATGTATGACATTCATTTTTATCTCATCGTTACTTTTCAACATGCAGACAGAAACATGCATACTTTTCCCTAGAAAAAAATCTTTACCTGATCAACGGCTGCCATTATTTAACTAATGTTCAATATATTGTGTATTTTTGTCTATTCTAAACCATGAGATTTTGAACTGGATTACAACCCTATTTTTTTTTTTTTTTAGGAGAAGAGCAAACATGGGCAAAGGGCAGAGAAACAAGCTGCACACTGGAATGATAAAGAAATGTGTAAATCTGACAAGGGACTAAGAAAAGGAGGCTGTGTAATAAAAATAAAAATAAATAAATCAGGTAGATGGGGGCAATGTGGTTAACTTGGATTACTTTCAAAGAATGCTCTCTCTCTCTTCTCCAAAGCCTGCAGTATCGGAACCAGTAACGGCCAGAAGCTCAGAAGCATCTTTTGAAAGCCTCGAATAACTTAAACGCTGACTACGCTTATGGGCCACGCCTTTAATATTATCATTCTGAACTGCCACTGAGTTAGAACTCGATCCAGGACACAGAATGATTTGAGGAGGTTCTACTATGATACCGTCGGTCTCCTCAAAATTCTGATTGGGTCTATTGGCTGGTGCACTGTTATTATTCAGGGTGACCGTGCTAGGCGTTCTGTTTAAATTGTAGACTTTTGGACAGGCCGGCCAATTCTCTTCCGGACTGCTTGCTATTAAGCTGCTATCTGAAGGGCTTTTCTTATCTTCTGAACAAATTGACATACGGGCGATTGTTGGATCCTGGAGGCCACTCAAGCTATGGGGAATTCCCCTTTTTCCACTGCGGCCATCATCTTCCAGCTCAATGAGATTTGCTTTTTCAAGCTGTGAGTCATCTCCATCATTATGGAGAGAATGATTTGGAGAGCTTTCGTTGGATCTCACTCCAGAATCAGAGGAATCCTTTTTGTCTAGGAGAGCATCCGTCAAATACTCCTTTGCTTTGATCAAGGTTCTGATGGGCTCAGAGCCATGTTCTGGAGATTTGGACTGTTTCTCTACTTTTCCTTCTATTTTCCGGTCTTTACCTTCCTTGAGGAGAGGTGTATTATCAGATTCTTCTGTCCCAGACTCATCTTCATCACTTGGAAGTTTCTGATAACGTAGCGCTACCCCTTTCAACTTCAGATCTGCAGCTTGGAAAATGCTAGTTCTTTCTGAAGATTTCTTCCCAGAAAGAAGCTTGGATCCAGACTGATCTGATTTTTCATCTTCTTCGGTAATGGGATCTAATGGAGACGCATCGTTGGTAGATACTGAACTACTGTAATCTACAACATCATTCCGCTTCATCAAGAAGGACTTCCTTCCATCGTCTTGTTTCTGTTCAGCATCCTTTCCCTTATCTTGTTCCATACTGGAATGAAGAGAACCTGTGGATGTGCTCTGACCCATGTAAAATGCTGCTGAACTATGTGGTGAAGATCTACCACTAACTGTACTAGAACTTGCACCTCCTTCTAACTGGGACATTTGAGCAATATATTCTCTATATGCATCTCTATATTCTGCTTGTACCTTATCAGTAAGCTTTGAAATTTCAATACTAGAATCTTGAGAATTGAGACTTGAAAGACTTGGAGTCCGGTGGGCTTGTGACTATTTAAAGACAAAGAAAACATATTAAAATATTTTTTTGAATTTATATACATAATACATCTAAATAGGCACAAATGACTAAAATAAAACCTGAATAAGTAGTTATGAATAAAAATTGCTTGATATTTCAGAAAGGGGCACTACGTCAATGTTACAATATATACCGTATTTTTGGAGTATAAGACGCACCTTTTCCCTCAAAAAAAGGCTGAAAATCTGAGTGCGTCTTATACACCAAATACATCATTTTTGCCTCCCCAAACCCCGCCCCCTTTACCAAAATAGCCGTGCATAGCTTGTAGGAGGCTTTCAGAGAGCTTCTGGGGGCTGGGGAGGGCAGAAATGACCAAAAAACAGGCTGTTTGTTGCTCGTTTTTGCCCCCCCAGCTCCGCCCCCACCAGGAGCACTCTATAAGCATCCCATGCCCTTTTGGGGGAAAAAAAACCATTTTGGGGAGGTCTGCAGAGTGCCAAAACTTTTTTTTAAAATTTGCCTCTTCAAAACCTTGGTGTGTCTTATACTCCGGTGCATCTTATACTCCAAAAAATATGGCAACTAGCATAGGTTGAGATTGGTCCTGTCAGGGTAAGGCTCTGTGAGGATTCAATACAGCAAATTCATTTATCATATAAATGGTTTCCTGTTTAGAATAGAAGGGGAAATTGTAACAATTTTCTGTTAAAACCAACAGCCTTTCCCAATACAACACATTTTGTATTAGGAAAGGGTATTTGTCCAGAAAAGTCTATATATAACTCTTGTGTAATTGAAATGGAACATATAACTGCGTAATTAGAACCTGAACTAGAAACAAATGTAGTAACTTTTACTTTTTATAGTTATTTCTGATGTGCAACATATACTCTTTAAAAAAACTCTTTTAAGGAGCTTTACTCTTGTATGTGAATAATAGTTACGATTAAAATAAAAGGCACTGTCTGAATTATATCTAATCTGAAGTGAAATTACCTGCCAGCTTAGATTGCTATGACGTGGAGGGGCTTCCTCTAGGCCAATATTGTTCAGCTCTTCAAAGCTAAAATTGAGACCATAAGGAGCTTGACCTGGAAGACCAGTAAGTTCCGTATGGGGTAATTCATTATTCAGAGTTGGACGCCGAGCGAGATCATTATGAGGATTTGGGTTGGCATGCTCATTCACTGTTCGAGAATCTTCATGGACGATTTGACTTTCTGCATTTCTCATATCAAGTACCTAACATAAGAAAGATATTAGACTGCAAGTTGAACATAACAGCACAACTAAAACATGATCTTATTTTAGCAAAGAACTATGAAGCACATTTTCTGTGGCAATCTTAAGCTTTACATGATTCACTCAGTCTAAAGCAGCATTTCACAGCCTTGGAAACCTCAGCTCCAGCAATGACTACACTGATTGAGGAATAATTTAAGCCAGGGGTCTGCAACCTTAAACACTCAAAGAGCCACTGTTTCCCAGAGAAAACAAAACACCAGGAGCCACAAAACCTGGTTGGGCGTGGCCAATGTTATGTCACTCACTCCCATCCAGTTACTTGACTCCCAGTTATGCCTACCCAGGTTTTGTGGCGCGTTTTCCATGGGAAATAGGTACCATATTTTTTGGAGTATAAGACGCACCTTTTTCCCTCAAAAAAGAGGCTGAAAATCTGGGTGCGTCTTATACACTGAATACAGCATTTTTTTGCCTCCCGAAACCCCGCTCCCCTTCACAAAATGGCCATGCATAGCCTTTAGGAACCTTGCAGAGTGCTCCTGGGGGCTGGGGAGGGCAGAAATGAGCGAAAAACAGGCAATTTTTTGCTCAATTTTGTGCCCGCGCCCTTCAGCACCCGGGAGCACTCTATAAGCCTCTTAGAGACTATGCATACCCTTTCTTTTTGACAAAAAATTGAGCCGTTTTTGCGAAAAACAGAAGAGTGCAAAAACTTTTTTAAAAAATTTGCCTTTTCAAAACGTTGGTGCATCTTATACTCCGAAAAATATATCTCCCTCTCTCATCTCTCCCTCCCTACCTCTCATCTCTTTCTCTCTCTCATCTCTCTCTTTTTCTCTATCTCCCTCTCCTTCCTTCCCTCATCTTTCTTTCTCTCATCTCTTTCTTTTTCTCTCTATCTCCCTCTATGTCCCTTGCAATGTTTCCAGGCACAGTTCCTGCCACTTTAAATATGAAACTACAAATTCTGGACAAATTATTAACAAAACTTGGGTAAAGTAAAGTAAACCATTCTTAGAATGAAATCTTATGCAAATAAGATGCAAATATAACATCGAATTTCACTGAAACTATATAATATGCTTCAAAGTAAATATATGCAGAAAGGCAAATGTAAGTTCCACCACCCAGCAGTCCTAATTATTAATATTAATATTTTATGTAATAACAAGTCTTACCGCGCTCCGGAAGAGATGCCAGTCCCCAAAATTCATGTTCATCTCACGTTTTAGTTCATCAATATTACACTGTGCTAAAACACGACCGTTTATATTAGCCTAAAAAAATTATAGAAACACAACATAGGTATTACTTATAAATGGCAGAAAAGTAAACTTTAATCATTTCAAAAGCATTTATAATCTATACAAGGATAGTGCATGTTATATTTCAAAAGAATATCATTTAGGATACATTATATAATGTATTTTATATAATAACTTTAGGAAGTTTCTGTATTATATGTTTATATTATGAGTAATGCCCAGTCTTCATGTGAGTCTCTCCAAAACTACTTATAAATTGGCAGCATAGCCACTGTAAGTTACCCCACACATTCCAAAATGCGTCAGATTGAATAAAGTCCAAATTGAATTAAAGTCTTTTCTAGGAGGAACTTGATAGCAGTTTCAGATACAGTATTTTAAAATTGTGAATTTCAACTGATTTGGGAACTGGAAGGACGACTACAGGAGGAAGTACTTATTCCTCTTGCAGTATCCATTGTGTTGGGAGATTGAAACAATTGTGTGATGTACCAATGAGCCTGCAGGCGAAATATTGCAAGCTGCCCTAAGTATTATGCTATCAGTGTTTTTGTTAAGATTTTATCCACAATCGTGGATATTTGATCCAGGATGAATCAGAGTTAAGTGTTGGGATGACTTGGGATAGATAAGAAGCCATGGTAAATTTTCTACACCTTGAATAAACTAAGTTTTTAACAGAGGGTTTTGATTTTTTAGTTTTGTTTTGTGTGTGTTTGCTGTTCTACTTGCTATTTGTCCATTAATATATTAGACCAGTGCTTCTCAACCTTGGCTACTTGAAGATGTCTGGACTTCAACTCCCAGAATTCCCCAGCCAGCATTCGCTGGCTGGGGAATTCTGGGAGTTGAAGTCCAGACATCTTCAAGTGGCCAAGATTGAGAAACACTGTATTAGACAGATGACAGGTTAATAATTTGTAAGCAGAATTAGAAATTTGGAAGAAAAAAAAATTGAAGCCTGTTTCGCCAGAGGTGGGAAACTAATATGTTGTAATATATTTATCAGTATTCAGCTAGGGGATGGTAATATGTGAATATGCGATTGTGGATTTTTTTAATGCACCTTTCTAATGTTTTGCTCATGTTATTTGTTGTTTGTCTGCTTCTGTGATCAATTCCCCCCCCCTTTTTTTCCTTTTGGAGTTTTGTACTTTAACGTTTGAATAAAATAAAAATCAATTGGGGGGCTGGGGGAATAAATTTAATAATTGAAATTGCTCATTCCACATTTAGGAGAACGGAAGGTCTACTGCCCAGACTCGCTTATTGCCTCCTCCGGATTCCATCTGCCGGCCAATGTCGGCTGGCAACCCCCCGGTAGCTGCTCCTCTCCTCTCTGTAGCTGCTCCGGCCCTATGGAACGATCTCCCCGTTGAGATCCGGACCCTTACTACCCTTCTGGCCTTCCGCAAAGCGACCAAGACCTGGTTGTTCCGGCAGGCCTGGGGCTGTTGATTTATCCAGCCCCATCCTAAGTTATGAATGTTGTGGAATTTTTAATGTTTTGGTTTTTTTTTGTATGTCCTCGCCTTCCTTTTTTATTTGTAAGCCGCCCTGAGTCTCTTTGAGAGTGGGCGGCATACAAACCAATTAAATAAATAAATAAAATAAATAAATAATTATTGTCAAATACAAAAAAGGAAAAAGAAAGCCTTCTCTAAAGGGAAAGTTATATTAATACACTAACATTCATCTTTAAAACAAACAAAAAATCTCAGCCCCACTTAACACATACATAATACTTTATTTAAATATGATTTACCTTTCTATAATCTTAATCTATCCTTAATTCATTAAAGGTATTTTGGCAGTGAACAAATTTAGTTTAACATATTCTCTGCATGTTCAATCTACTGAAAGATAATTATTTTTTTATTCTCCAACAGTAGATTTTTCACAGACTAAGGAGAAGATGCACCATTTATGAATGCAGAAACATACCTTCTTTATAGTTGCAGAATACTGAGCCAGCATAGTCTGATCTAGTCCTTCTATTTGTTTCAGCTTCTCACACACAGCATCCACACTCATTGAGCTCAAAGGAACATGGGATGCTCCTGATCCAGGGACTGTCCCCTAGGCAAAGGTGAAGTGCAACAGACAATATGTTGAAGTGCTTATTGTGATTCCTTTGCAAACACAAACAAACAGCTAACATGTTTTGTCACTCTTAACAGTATCAGTAATTGGGAATACTGACATACCACCAGAGGACTCGCCGATTGAAGTATACACCATGATGTGGTGTCACAGGCAAGAACTTTCCCTGAAGGTTCTTACAAGATGGGAAATGAATTTTTAAAGAAATTGCTCCTAGCACAAAAATAAGGAAAATCTTGATGGACCTCTCCAATATAGTCTACTCTTTCAGTACCTAGTCCATTCACAGCAGAATCTACTGTGGAGCACACTGATCAAAAGAAAAATAATCATGGCTAGGTTTAAAATACGTAAATTTGTCTCAAAGGCACCTGCAAGTTTTAGAATATAACAAAAGATGAAGCAGTCCTGGAATCAGATATTGGCTTAATCTGCATACATTTAAATCAGTTCAAAAGGGGGAAGGAGTATCACTTCTGTGTAGACATGCAATATTAGTGATAATGCCGTATAAGAGCTTGTCATATTTTTATTGTGCATGTAATATATTTCTCATGGGGTATGTACAATCTTAGCATTAAAGCCTAGCAAGCTGAATTCACTTTCTATATTCCAAATAAAGTGGTGTTTTTTTAAAGAAGAGTAGAAAGTACCTCACTCAATTTGAATAATAATCTCTGATTTAACAACCAACTTGCTATTTTCATGGACTCATACATCCTAATAAAAGCTAATATAGTTAATAAAAAGCTGTAACTTTTTACAGCTAGGAAAATTGTATTCTGTTGCCTCATATTTTCTCTGAATGTATTCCTGGGACTATTATATGCAATTGATTTTCAAGATCAGTTGGCAGATTTGAGTAAAAAAACAAATAAAGTAATTTAAACTAATATTATGGTACCAAAAACAAGTACCAGAAAAAAGTGTGAAGAATGGTGGACAATTCTGTCTGACATGAAGTCAAAAATAAAGCAAAAGAGGGGGGAGGCACTAGTAGAAATGCTTGCTCACTCATACAATTAAATTCAAGATGACCAGAAGCTGAAAGGTATCTTTCTAGAGACAATTTTAAAAATGCCTGACTAATATGGCCCACTTTTACACGTTCTAGGTTCAAAAATACTATTCTAAAATAAATTTCCACAAGGTGTTGCATTCATCCCATGAAATTCCAAAACAGATGAGGAGCAATGAGTATCAATTTACAATTGTCTAGAGAAGTATTTAAAAGATTAAATTGATAATTTCATATATATTAACATCAATGCAACAATAGCGAAAGGGTTTTTTTTTAATTGTCAAACACCATACATTTTTCACAATCTATTTATATTAATAATCTAATCAAATGTGGGAAAAAAGGTTGAACATGCTGCTATGCTTTGGAATTAAAACCAAGAAGGCTTTAAATGAGCAGGTAGCTTTACATTTATAAAGTTCAATGGAATAAAAGAAACCCTTCTACATATGTATTAAATAGGGACAGACTGAAGGATTTCTACAGGTGTTGATCAATATGTAGGAACAGAAATCAAACACGCCTGTATAATCAATCTACATAGTTCACAATTTCAGAAAGGAGTTTTTGTTTTTTGGTACCAAAGTCAGTATTTGTATAAAGCTTTGCATAAAGCTAGCTGTATTAGCACAATCACGTTTAATAAAGTCTATATTATATCTCTGCTGAGGAATGTCTCCAATTTGAACGGTTTCAAATTGAAATTAATTGGCTTCTCATCTAAAAGCGTTGTTTTGAGTTGAAAGCAGGCTGTTTCCATCATTTTGGATGTCGGTAAGAGGCAAGCAGCTGTTTCAAACCCATGTTAACTTCAAAATTGTCAAAACATTCAATTTTGAGCTTGAAACACTTAAATTTCAAACATTTTGCACACATCTACTGTGGTTTTTAAGCACACTATTGAGAATTCTGCTTTTGTGATTTTAACTGCATTCCAACCACACTAATATTTATATCATATAAGAAAGAAAAGGGGGGAAAAACTCTCAATCTAAAAGATAATACTGGGGCTAATAATTATTTGACAAAAATAGTGTTTCATGCAGCGTAAGATAACCTTAAGAAAATTTACATTTAACAAATTCTCTGTGTGAGTGTATTCACACTATGATTTTCACTGGAATCCAGAACACTTATTTTTTTAAGAAAAGCAGTAAAAAGTGGAAGTGTATCTTAGAGGTAACATATGAGTGCTACAATCATACAAACATTCTTTTCTCAACTACGGTGTTTTTCAAATGTGTTGAGAGAGCAGAATTCTGCTATGTTTTTGTCATGCAAAACCTAAGAAGCAGAACATCAAAAGCAAGCCCCCCCCCCCAAAAACAAAGTGCATTAGTGTAGAACAGCCAGCATGGCATTCCATCATGATAACAGAAAAACATGTGACCTTTGCTTAGAAAGTTGCTGTACCTGTCTTTGTCTTTTTAACCCAGTTTTACATAGCTTTAAAACAAAAACAAAAGAGGGCACAATTTTAACATAATTAGTAAGGCAATATCTATAAAAAATAAGCTAGGACGGTTATTTAAATTTCCTCTTTGAAGTGGTAAGAAGCACCTGCTAAAAATGAATGTATTCTAATTAAAATGCCCCGATCCAAGAACTACGTATATAACTAGATCCTCATAGACTATATCCAAGATAATTTTGGGTCCCGTGCTCTATGAAAATTGTTGGGTTTTCAAAAAGAGTTTGTGTTGTCTCACTTGATGTTCAAAATAAGGTAAAAAGTCATAAGTCCTTTTATGTAGATAAGAATTCAACTACAAATTAATATCTTGATATCCCTAGTTAATATCCTATTAGTTTTCTGTGGTATAGTGTCTTGCTGGAGTAAAAGGTCTGATGTAATTGGGGGGGCTATACGTAAGGCTACCAAAATATTTCAAAAACTTACTACAGCAGATCCATTGGCTGATAAGAATAGAAGGAACAATTGAAATCAAAGCAATGAGCAGGTTTTAATAATTTAACCAAACATGCAAACATAGCTTTAAAAATTAAGATTAGTCACTGGTTTGGGAGCAGTCTTTTAAAAGTAATTATCATCCATTTTTTTAATGCCAGTTAATGGAATGCGAGAATGACTCGGAAGATAGGAGAAAAAGAGGCAGCCAAAGGAATAGTCAGATAATAGGCAACTTATCCTGCAGGAAGTGGGAAGAGAGGGGGCAAGTGGCTCTTTATAGCCCAAGAAAAGGGACCCAGAAAGAGGGAGGAATGTTTTCAGATGTACAAGATTGATGTCAGCCTCGTGAGATTGAGCAGGTAGGAAATACAGCCAATTGAGCTAATCCTACTTCATTGTAAGGTTACATTAACAGAAACTTGCAAGTCTGAAGTACATCCCCACCACCACCTCTTTACAGCCCAAAAAACTAGACAAGGTTCCTTCCGACCTGCTTGCCCCACCCATATTCCTGCTGCAGGCTAAGCTGCCTTTTATCTTTCCAGTCTCTTGACTGCAGTCTCTTCGTCCTGTCTCCCAAGTTCATTCCCACATTCTACATATAACCTTCAACTTACAACAGTGAATTGATGTAAACATTTAATAATACAATATTATGTTGGCTATGTAATAGTATACATGTGATTATATCAGTGGTGGGATTCAGCCAGTTCGCACCTATTCGGGAGAACCGGTTGTTAACTTTCTAAGCAGTTCGGAGAACCGGTTGTTGGAAAAAATCTCATTTTGTTTTTTTTCCACTTTACAGGACTAATTGTGTAAGGAAGAAGGTAGGAAGGAAACATTCTGGTGTTGTTTCTAGCCTAGTTTTTATTCCCCTGCTTACAGAAACTGCCCCTCTGATTAACCCTTATTACATTGTAAAAGCTGAGGTGAAGCGCCCATCGACGTGAGTGATGTTGTGTTGGCCACGCCCACCCGGTCACATGATCACCGAGCCCTGCCTACCCAGCTGTTCATTAGGGCAAAGAACCGGTTGTTAAATTCTTTGAATCCCACCACTGGATTATATGTTATGAAAATGAAAAAAATAAAAAAAAAATTATATAAAAAAAACTTACAACAGTTCACTTGAGTACTGATCAAAGTTACAATGGCACTGAAAAAGTGACCTGCGACCATTTTTCACACAAATGTGACCGTTGCAGCATCCCCATGGTCATCTGATTTATATCTGGATGCTTGACAACTGCCTCATATTTATGACAGTTGAGGGGGTCACGTGACCGACCCCCTTTTGTGATTTTCTGACACACAGTCAATGGGGAATCCAGATTCACTTAACCAACCGTGTTACTAACGTAACTTGCGGCAAGAAAAGTCGTAAAATGGGACAAAACTCAACAGACGTTTGGGCTCAGTGGTAGACGTAAGGTGAGGACTACCAGTATTACTTCTCTAAAATAGGTTTCCTCTTTTCACTACCACATTGGCATCAGGGTGGTACTTTCTCTTGCATTATTTCCACTTTCCTTCCCTTCTCTTCCTAACGCTAACAAAGGAGATGTAATGCATTCTCACCCCCACTCTTGGTGTAAGAATGACTGAAATATGAAAATGAAGAACCAAGTAATTTTATAAATGGGATTGTTTTCTTTTATAGGCAATGTGTTTAATGGACAGGTTAATGAATGTAATAAAGAACCTGTCTAAAATGTACTTTGCAGGCAATTAATTGTAATTTGTAGTTATAAATTCAATTACATTTTTGCCCTGATCCTGCCCTTTTTTAGAAAATGGCTTCTGGCTGATACATAACCACATACGTACATGTACATATGCTTAGGCAAATATCTGGGAGATGGGAGGGAATTTCCAGGATTGGTTTCTGCTGAAACTCATGTTGACAAGGTAGGAAGATGGGCAATGAACACAATTTTTATTGTGTATATCTATCTGTCTCTTTTTCCTTTTATGAGGGTGGTCATTTTAAATTTAGTAACTTTCATGTAAATACAGTATAGTTCCAAAAACATTTAACTT